TCCCCGTCTCCTGGTGATTGGCCCAAAGTCACCCAGCCGGCTTTCATGCCTAAGGCGGGACTAGAACTCATCCTCTCCTGGTGATTGGCCCAAAGTCACCCAGCCGGCTTTCATGCCTAAGGCAGGACTAGAACTCACCGTCTCCTGGTGATTGGCCCAAAGTCACCCAGCCGGCTTTCATGCCTAAGGCAGGACTAGAACTCATCCTCTCCTGGTGATTGGCCCAAAGTCACACAGCCGGCTTTCATGCCTACGGCGGGACTAGAACTCACCCTCACCTGGTTTGTAGCCACCACCAGAACCATTTTTTACAGAACCTAAAGAGAGACGACCTTTGTTTTCCAGACTTATGTGGTGTTAACAGCTCTTTCCTCTATGCTATTTCCAGCAATGTCCAGCATGATCAGATGCCAGGAAAAGAAAATAGAGCAAGCCAAGGAAAAAGAGAAGAAACTCTCCAAATGAATATATAGGCGCGTTTTTTTTTTAAATCCCCCAAAGAGGCATCCAGATTGCCTCTCGCCGAATGGAATCTTTTTAAGCCTCCTGTTCTTGTTAATAATAAAAGTTGACATAGTTTTGTAATCTGTCCTTTGCTTTAGAGAGAGAGAAAAAAAAACAACAACGACCGAGACTGTTAGCGTCTCCGTGACTTGGAAAGGGCCACAAGCCCTGAGAGAATTCATCCCGTGCTATTGTGCACTTTTATTATTTTAGGAATTTCCAATTTGGCTCTAAATGCATCAGCTCTGGAAGGCGGGTGCTGATCAGTGGCCCAAATTCAAGCAGGTGCCGTGTGATCCAGTTTAGCAGAATGCCATGTGCGGGTGAAGAGCACATACTCTGGATTGTTGTTCTATCCCAGTGGGTTTGCAGTATCACAAGTTGCCACCCGAAACTGCCTTCTAGGAGCCAGACACAACCGTTATAGTGCTAATGTGGTAATGGCACAGCTGTTTTCTTTGCTGTTGTGCAACTCACTCTCTACGTCAGGGGTCTTCAAACTTGGCCCTTTTATGACTTGTGGACTTCAACTCCCAGAATTCCTCAGCCAGGCATGCTGGCTGAGGAATTCTGGGAGTTGAAGTCCACAAGTCATAACAGGAACAACCCAACTCTGTAGTCCTAGGGCAGGCATGTCAAACACAAGGCCCGGGGGCTGGATGCGGCCCGCAAAGTAGTTTCATGTGGCCCGCGAAGCCATCCTGGAAACAGTGAGGGAACGGCCCCCGCTGCCTTGGCCCTGGCCCAGGCCGGCTGGGAGCCAATGGACAATTTTGTGGTGGCCATCTATGCTGAAACGCATTCAGTCTTAGCTCCACAAGGCCGTCTGGAAACAGCGAGGAACCAGCCCCTGCCGCGTCGCCCCCGCCCCCTGGGTGCATGCTGGGGAGGTGTCATGTCACCCTTTGTGAGGAATGAAGAAATGGACCATGCCTTGGCGCTTGCCCCGGTCCCACCCCCTTCTGTCAGAGACCCTCAGATCTGTCCCACTCCTGCCCAGGCCCCCACAGGCATCCTTGACGCAAACGATGTAGAGCTGGCCATGCCCACCCAGTAGGCCACACCCACTCCATTCACGCCCACCCAGTAGGCCGCACCCACCCTGGCCACACCCACCCGGCCCCCCAAGGGCAACTGCAATGCTGATGCGGCCCTCAGTGAAATTGAGTTTGACACCCCTGTCGTAGGGTTACATTAACAGAGGGATAGTTTCCAAATCATGGGAAGTGATAGTACCGCTTGAGCTTGCACTGGGTGAGACCACCTTTGGAATATTGTGTCCAATTCTGCTCACAAGATGCTAAGGCCCTAGAAAGAGTGCAGAGAAGAGCAACAAAGATGATTTAGGGGACTGGAGGCTAAAGCATATGAAGAACCATGGCCAGAATGTCTAGTCCAGGGATCTGCAACCTTGACAACTTTAAGACTTGTGGACTTTCAGCTCCCGGAATTTCCCTGACAGCCCTGTTGGCTGGGGAATTCTGGGAGTTGAAGTCCGCAAAGTCTTAAAGTTGGCAGGTTTGGAGGTCTCTGCACTGTGCTATTGCAGGAATAACATAGAATTGCAGGGAAGAAGGGCAAGGAATTGGTGGATCTCCAAATGCCGGATTTAGTCCAAGCCAGTATGGAGAATTAGCAGATGAGAGAATTGAAGTGGACATCATCTAAGCTGCAGGCTCCTTACCTCTGATTGGGAAAATTCCCTCTTGCTTCACCCATCAAGTTTACATTTGATCTGTTTTTTTCTCTCCATTGTGAAACATCTCTTTGCTATACATAGGCACGCTCAGTTCTTACACAGACTTTGGACTCTTGGTTAACTTGCTCAGTGATTTTATAAACCTCACCTAAGGTAAATAGTGCCCCTTTGCAGATGATAGGAGGCCAAAGACTCACCTGTTAACTCAGCTCCAGACCAGCAGAATAGTTTTCATCCTAGTCTCCTTTGAAATAATTACGGTCACCTAGCGAAAGTTTTCAATTCAGTACTCCCCCCCCATTTTTATGATCGCGCAAAAGCAGACGTAATGAAAGCCCAGCCGTCTGTTTAAACATCAGTGCAGGAACCTTAGCATGTTCAACGTCTTCAGTAGTTTAAAAATAAATCCAAAAATGTTTAGCACGCCTGCTCTATTATATGCCCGCCTCTCCTGCAGACATCTATCTCTGCTGGGTTGTATGTGTGCTTGGAAAATTGCATCCAGTTGTGGTCGCCACGATCTAAAAAAGATGTTGGGACTCTAGAAAGAGTGCAGAGAAGAGCAACAAAATTGATGAGGAGACTGGAGGCTAAAACATATGAGGAACCCTTGCAGGAATTGGCTATGTCTAGTTTAATGAAAAGAAGGAACATGACAGCAGTGTTCCAATATTTGAGAATCTATCACAAAGAAGAGGGGGATCCAGCTATTCTCCAAAGCACCTGAAGGCAGGACAAGAAGCAATGGATGAAAACTAATCAAGGGGAGAAACAACCTGGAACTAAGGAGAAACTTCCTGACAGTTAGAACAATAAACCAGTGGAACGACTTGCCTCCAGAAGTTGTGGGTGCTCTATCACTGGAGATTTTTAAGAGGAGATTGAACAACCATTTGTCCGAAATGGTATAGGGTTTCCTGCTTGAGCAAGGGGCGGGGGGTTGGACTAGAAGACCTCCAACTCTGTTATTGTGCTTAAAATGTTCAGCATTCCCCTTTTGCAATAGTGGGACCTTCTTATCCTAAACATTAATTAATCACTTGGTAAGATGAAAGCAGATTTAATAACAATTTAAAACGGCAAATGTTTGAAAGCACGCTACGGCATGCCCGGACCGAAAGTCTCAGGGCCATACAGCTTGCCCAAGGCCTATTTTATTCCAGTCCTCCTGCAAAATGATTGGATGCAAATTTAAATGGGTGCAGTTTCAGAAGATATCCCGTACCTCCATCCGTTTAGGGAGCTATAACCCGGTTCCCGTCATGAAAATGAATTAAGCACGGCTATTTGAATTTCCGATGACTCATACGGAAAAATAGGCCATCCAGATTGGAAAGGCTCTGTCAGCATGGATCTGATTATAATATCTCTCTAAGCAATTTAAGTATTCTTTATACGTTGCAGACAGATGTTTAACGGCAAGGGCTGTGTTATTTTAGGGATGGGAGAGGGAGATGGAAAGGACTTCTGCCAATCAAATCCAGATTCTCTCTTGCAGATGTCGATCTTATCCGTACGAGCAGTCCCCGATTTACAAACATTCATTTAGCGACCGTTTGACGTTACAACAGCACTGAAAAAAGTGACTTATGACCGGTTTTCACACTTAACGACTGTTCCGGCATCCCTGTGGTCACGTGATCAAAATCCAGACCCTTGGCAACTGGTTCATATTTATGACGGTTGCAGAGTCACAGAGTCACCCTTTTGCGTCCTTCCGACAAGCAAAGTCAATAGGGAAGCCAGATTCACCTAACAACCGTGTTACTGACTTAACACCTGTAGTGATTTACTTAACAACTGTGGCAAGAAAGGCCGTAAAATGGGGCAAACCTCATTTCACCTCTGTCTCCACAACTGTCTCGCTTAGCAATGGAAATGTTGGGCCTCAATTTTAAGATAAGATAAGATAACCTTTGTTGTCATTTTTTTTACTGTGGGCACAACGGCACACGTCAAAAATGAAATTTAGTTACCCGCTCTCAAAGTGAAACACATACATGACACACACCTAAACGTACTGTATATAACATATGTATAGACCCACACCCCTACATATACGTAACAAATAAATATTAAATACTGTCCATCTTGAATATATAACGGAAGGAGGAAGCTTGAGAGTTCACAAGGTTAATGCTGTATGGAATGAAACTATGGCTGAATCTGGATGTTCTGCTACGGATACCACGGAGCCCCCTCCTCCCAGAAGGGAACAAGGAAAACAGGTCGTGAAGAGGATGTGTCGTGTCCCAGATGATCTTATGGACCCTGCTCAAGCAACGCTTTTGTGCTATGTCCTGGATGGGAGGGAGGGAACCGCCAATGATCTTTTCAGCAGTCCTCACCACTCTCTGCACCGCCTTCCTGTCTGAAGCAGGGATGCTTCCAAACCAGACTGTGATGCTATATGACAGGATGCTCTCGATCGTCCCCCTGTAGAAAGTGGTCAGGACAGGGGAAGGAAGATGTAGGCTGTTTAGATTTAGGCTGTAAATCAAGGACTACCTGTATTTATGATTCCATATAAAGAAAATATACATCCTATACAGGTAGTCCTCGACTTAGAGTTCATTTAGCGACCGTTCAAAGTTACAAGAGCAGTGAATAAAGTGACTTATGCCCGTTTTTCACAGTTACAACCTTTGCAGCATCTCCAGGGTCACGGGATTAAAATTCAAATGTTTGGTTCATATTTATGACGGTCGCAGCGTCCCGGGGTTGTGTGATCCCCTTTTGTGACCTTCCGACAAACAAAGTCAACGGGGAAGTCATATGCATTTAACAACTGGGTTACTAACTTAACAACTTCAGTGTTCCACTTAACAACTGTGGCAAGAAATGTCGTAAAATGGGGCAAAATTCACTTCATTGAACAACAGAAATTTTGAGCTCAATTGTGGCCTTAAGTCAATTGTGGCCTGTAATATACTCTATCCCCCAACGCTAAAAAGAGTCCATTTGCTTTCCAACAGACAAATCTTCTAGCTGTAAGAGAAAGCAGACACTCTTTCTGCTACTTTTCTGTTGTAAGGGAAGCCTCCTGGTTAAAGAATGAACCCCCCCCTGGCAGAGCAGACCGTGTTCAAACCAGTCCAGGGATCCTTGACCTCACAGTTGACCAGGCTGGCTCTCTGCATTATATTTAATCATCGGTTGAACAAGAATCCAGCAGCTGGAACTAGTATTGCACGCTAACAATATAATATTCATGCTTTTTGAGCACTCTTATCCCATTTTGAGGGAGATTATGTTGGGAATGCAACCGCTGGAGGGGGAAAATGCTTGGTTATCACTAGCACTTTATTAATAACCATAACAGAAAAAAACCAATTGGCTGCCCTCTTGCTGATCAGTATTTGTTTCATAGAATGACATGGCGCATTTCAAGCTCTGTTTATATATGTTGTTGTTAGTTGCGAAGTCGTGTCCGACCCATCGCGACCCCACGGACAACGTTCCTCCAGGCCTTCCTGTCCTCTACCATCTTCTGGAGTCCATTTAAGCTCATGCCTACTGCTTCAGTGACTCCATCCAGCCACCTCATTCTCTGCCGTCCCTTTCTTCTGTTGCCCTCGATCTTTCCCAGCATCAGGCTCTTCTCCAGTCAGTCCTTCCTTCTCATTAGGTGGCCAAAGTACTTGAGTTTCAACTTCAGGATCTGGCCTTCTAAAGAGCAGTCAGGGTTGATCTCCTCTAAGACTGACCAGTTTGATCGCCTTGCATTCCAGGGGACTCGCAGGAGTCTTCTCCCTTGACTTACAACCACAACTGAGCCCAGAATTTCACAAGGCAGTCATGAGACAGCTGTGAAGCACCCCAGGGCAGGACAAGGAACAACCGATGGAAACTAATCAAGGAGAGAAGCAACCTAGAACTAAGGAGATATTTCCCGACAGTGAGAACAATTAATCAGTGGAACGACTTGCCTCCAGGAGTTGTGAATGCTCCTACATTGGAAGTTTTTAAGAAGAGATTGGACAGCCATTTGTCTGAAATGGTATAGGGTCTCCTGCTTGAGCAGGGGGTTGGACTAGAAGATCTCCAAGGTCCCTTCCAACTTAATCCTGACATAATATTTTGTGTCTTTATGATTATTGGACATAAAATAGTTATAAGCTTCATGGAATGCAGAAGGCAACGAAGAAGAGATAACGTTTAAGAAAAGCTAAGTCATAATTTAGAGAAAAAAGAAACTATGCAGTGTTAATAACTGCCAAACTGGATTTGGTTTATTGCTTAAAACAGCTAATCAGGAAATTCAAGTAAGGCCTAGTTTAGAGTTTGGCAATTGTATTTTTTTTTTTTTTTTTAAAATAGCAATTTCAGGGAAGTGATTTCAATCACTCGGTTTCCCATTTATGTCAGTTCACACAAGTATGATCACACAACTACTAAGTACATAAAGAGAATTTTAGTTTTCTTCCAAAGTGCAAGTCAATACATTCAGGATCAATTCAACTTTTTTTTTACTTACAAAGGAAAAAAGCCTCCCTCAATTCAATATATCTGGGACAGGGCATGGATACATTATAATTATTAACTGTAAACTAACATACGTGTACAGGTAACTGCATTAGCCAAGTTATTTTTAGAAACTCAATTATTTATTTTAAAAAATACATCCCGGTTAACTTTATTTGAAGTCTGTTATTTAGCTTAATCATCATCCTGACCCTTTTCAGTAAGAAAACCAGCATATTTCATAATCATGATAGTATTAAAACGGTGCGAGTTTAATTTTCTGCCTCTTTTATATATGCTCTACTGTACTTTAATGGGTTAATACACCTAAAACTGTGTTGGGTGCAGGACAGAACAGGCAAAGGGCAATTTTCCAAGATCAAGTGAGATGTGGATATATGTGCCCTCCAGCAATGCTCAGAGGGAGGGTCTTCCAGATAGAATGCAGCCAAATCAAGACACCCCTTTTTAAGCACCCAAAATATAAAGGCCAGCCATCTTCTACGTGGAAACCACTACTGGACTTTTTGCTTGAGGTGGAACAAAAAATGAAACTTTGATTTTGGGTTCTGCTGATTAGATAAGTTTATGGTTATAGAAATGGCTAGTGTATATTATCATATAAAAATCAAAAGCAGAGGCTTAATGTTATTAACTTATTCTGTGCCAAAACGAGTCGGAAATCAATGCTTTTCTTTTTCTTTTCTCCCTTTTCCTACACTCTTTATTTTATTTATTTATTTATTGAATTTATATACCGCCCTATCTCCCTTACGGGACTCAGGGCGGTGAACAGGCGATAATAAAAACCACGATAAATATACACAAGTTTCTGTTCTAAAATCAAAAATCAAATTAAATAATATCTTCTGTCTTTTCCCCTTTCCCTCCCTTACTTTCCCATTATCTTCATTTTTCTTTGTGTTTTTGTAGTATATAGTTTGATGCGCTAAAATATTTGAATCCGAATAAAAGGTTTTACAGGTAAATATATAAAGGCCAGCCATCGTTGTAAAAGTCCATCTTTATTGCTTTCTGATGCAGTCATAATAAACTAAGAATACTTTAAAACAGCTACAGAGCAGTTGAACAATCCCTTAAGTCCAGCGTCCCTGATTCACACACCTGTCTCTTCACACAATATAATGTCAACCTGAGAGTTGGAAATGTTTTATTTTATTTTGAAACATTGCCCACTAAGTAGCTAATTTGTTTGCTGTTAGGGAGTTGTTGGCTTGATTTCATTTGAAGAACATGTTCCTATTTTAAAGCCTAGCCCAGCAGAAGAAAGACTGGCTATGAGGCAGTCCTAGTAAACACACAGCAAAGAGATGCACACTAAGGTAGGTAAGTAAAGAGAGAGAAATATACTCCTATGTTCAATGATACCCCCAGCACTTATGGGCCACCTGATCTTCATGTTCAGTTATTAGCATTCGGTTGGCACATTCTTCCCATCGCACAACCTTGCCACTCTCCACCAAGATGAACTTCCACTCAACGCTGGCATCAAACGGTAGAACCACAGAGTCTGACCAGAAGCCATCTTTGTCACACCTGAGGGGTACAAAATGGCGCCACTGGCCTAGACACTCGTGGTCACCTGTGATCGCGATCTGCTGGGCTTCCGAATGAGTGATGTAGTGGACACGGAAGACCACATGGACAGTCTGAGGCATGGGAGTTACCGCCGCGATTCTCTTCACTTGTTCCAAGTCCTTGTTGCCAATGTCATCTGCACGAGGTTTCCTGGTGGCCTCAGCTTCTTCACGATCCACAGTTTCTGGACCCAGGTCTTGGTTGAATTTCTCCTCAGGCTTATCACCAGAGTTGTCTACTTCGGCTGAAATCCTCTCATCACGCGGTTCCATTTCATGGCTTTGGGGTGGCTCGGAGGCTGTGTTCGGGTGACTGGATGCTTCGTTCCTTCGACATTCTGAATAGTTCATGAACGGGATTACAGGATCTTTGACCATTGCTTCTATTTCAGGAGGCTGTATGAAACCATCAGGGATATGGTGACCTCTTGGGGGTGTAACATGATTCTCTAGTGGCTCCTGTGGGCTGGACACACAAGCTGGTTTTGTTTCCGAAAGGACACACTCACTGGTTGTCTGAAATGGTTCTAAATAGAAAGGATATATTGTTAGTCTCGGTTCTACATTCCTTGTACATGTAATTTTGTGCACCACCCCACGAATCTTTAAAGCAAAGAAAATGCCACAAAGAAGAGGGAGTCAAGCTATTCTCCAAGGCACCTGAAGGCAGGACGAGAAGCAATGGGTGGAAACTGATCAAGGAGAGAAGCAACCTAAAACTAAGGAGAAACTTCCTGACAGTTAGAACAATTAACCAGTGGAACAATCTGCCTCCAGAAGCGGTGAATGCTCCAACACTGGACGTTTTTAAGAAGAGACTGGACAGCTGTTTGTCTGAAATGGTGTAGGGTTCCTGCCTGGGCAGGGGGTTGGACTCGATGACCTCCAAGGTCTCTTCCAACTTTATTATTATTTTTTATTATTATTATTATTATTATTATTATTATTATTATTATTATTATTATTTTGTGCTTAATTGGCAACAGGGATCTGCAAGAGTTTCAGGTCTAGCAACAAAATCCTCAACAGGTTTCCCCCCCCCCACACCTGATTTTCAGAACCTTTTGCTCTTTTATAATTATCTGTGTAACATAAATGCACTGTGAACGCTAGCGTGAATCCCAAAGGTGCTTTTTCCAAAAGGCAACTGGACTTCCTTGGTTTTCTCTTTGAAAACATTTTGCTTCTCATCCAAGAAGCTTCTTCGCTTCATTGAAGTAGGATGAGAAGCACAATATTTTCAAAGGAAAAAGATTTAAGAAAGTCCAACTGCCTTTTGGAAAAAAGTATCTTTGGGACAAGCATGACCTGGATGATTGAGACTCCCCATAGACAGCTAGTAGTAGTAGTAGTAGTAGTAGTAGTAGTAGTAGTAGTAGTAGTAGTAGTAGTAGTAGTAGTAGTAGTAGTAGTAGTAGTAGTTATAATAATGCTAGAATTATAAGCTTGAATGAAAATGCTTGGGAATTGTTTCTATATTATTTATTTGTTATTTATTATAAGCGAGCTGATTGATATCGCTGTACCAGGAGATGCCAGAGTTGAAGAAAAAGAACTGAAAAAAATTACGAAATATCGCAACCTGGCCATCGAAACTGCGTGATTATGGATGAAACGTGTAAACAGTGATACCCATTGTCATCGGGGCACTGGGAACTATGTCTAAAAACTTTGCAAAATACATCAAGAAACTGCAGCTTTCTGCAATAACTCCAGCAATGCTACAAAAAACTGTGCTACTCGGAACATTTTATATTTTAAGGAGGTATCTGGTTGATACCTAGGATGCTGATAGCAACCCGTGTCAACCATCAGTGCCAGCCAATTTGAATGTTCAGTTGACTGAGGTTCACGTCTAATGAATCATCATCATCATCATCATCATCATCCTTACCCAGGACCTGGGACAGGCAGATGTGGATGTTTGATGGTATTACAGATATCGTTGCAGGATGGAAGCAGTTCCTAGTAAGGCTGCCTTTTGCAATTGACTAATGGCAAATTTGTCAATGCCAATGGTGTTCAAATGGTGCTCCAGTTGTTTTGGAATTGCACCTAAGGCGCCTATTACTATTGGTACTACTTTTGCTTGCTTTTGCCACAGTCTTTCTATTTCTATTTGTAGGTCTTTGTATTTTGTTATCTTCTCCAGTTCTTTCTTGTCTATTCTGCTGTCTCCAGGCACTGATTATTACTACTGCTACTACTACTACTACTACTACTATTAATCATCCCACAGTCAGCCAGATGTTCAGACTGGATTTGGCATTTTTGTCTACCTATCGAGTCCTTCCCAAGGACCTGGGATAGGCAGATGTGTTTGATGGTATTACAGATCTCGTCGCAGGATGGAAGCAGTTCCTAGTAAGGCCACCTTTTGCAATTGACTAATGGCGAATTTGTCAATGCCAATGGTGTTCAAGTGGTGCTCCAGTTGTTTTGGGATTGCACCCAAGGCGCCTATTACTATTGGTACTGCCCTTGCTTGCTTTTGCCACAGTCTTTCTATTTCTATTTGTAGGTCTTTGTATTTTGTTATCTTCTCCAGTTCTTTCTCCTCTATTCTGCTGTCTCCAGGCACTTCCACGTCCACTATCCAGACTTTTTTGTAATACCATCAAACATCCACATCTGCCTGTCCCAGGTCCTGGGTAAGGACTCGATAGGTAGACAAAATGCCAAATCCAGTCTAAACATCTGGCTGACTGTGTGATGATCCATAATAATATTAATATTAATATTAATATTAATATTAATATTAATATTAATATTAATATTAATATTAATATTAATATTAATATTAATATTAATATTAATATTAATATTAATATTAATATTAGTAATAGTAATAGTAGTAGTAATAATAATAATAATAATAATAATAATAATAATAAATCTAGAATTATAAGCTTTAATGAAAGTGCTTGGGAATGGTTTCTAGGTTGACTGCACATTAGTGAGTAAGCAATAGCAATTTCACTGCTATTTCCTGGGCATGACTGAAACTGTAAGATGAACACCAGACCAGCACACAGAAGGAAAGCTGCAAAAATAGTCTAGCAAATGCCACCAGCCCTTGCAAAGGGCGGCTATAGTTCCACACCCTCCATTCCAGGCTGTTCCTGCCCCAGTCAGATGCCAGGCTGTGCTCCAAGCCAGCTGGCAAAGGAGAAGCTATTGTAATGTTAAGGCTTCACCACAGCTGAAAGGCCAAGAAATTGTGGACCGTTGCTTAATTAGAGTTTTTTTTCTTCTTTCGCCAATCCGGTCCAAATATTAGCCATAGCAAAAAAATAATAATACAAGCAATCCATTCTCAGGCAACTACAGTTAGTCCTCCACTTACAACGGTTCGCTTAGTGGCCGTTCGAAGTTACAACAGCAGTGAAAAAGGTGACTTATGACCATTTTTCACACTTACGACCGTTGCAGCATCCCCACGGTCACGTGGTCAAAATTCAGACACTCGGCACCTGCTTATGTAAGAGTTGCAGCGACCCGTGGTCACGTGATCCCCTTTTGCTACCTTCTGACAAGCAAACTCAATGGGGAAGCCAGATTCACTTAACAACCGTGTGACTCACTTAACAACTGCAATGATTCACTTAACAACTGTGGCAAGAAAGGTTGTAAAATGGGTCAAAACCCATGTAACAAATAGCAACAAGACTTTTGGGCTCAGCTTTTGTCATAAATCAGGGACTCTCTGTAGTTAATTATACTACATGTACTATCTTTAGCGAACAGTTATTTTCAACATTTATTTTCCACTTTGGGGCTTGTTCCCTGCGTCCATTTATTTTTAACTTTGCAGTAAGCGTTTTCTCCCACGATAGTCTTGCAACTGATTGATTTGGGCTCTGTGAAATGTTAAGAGCAAAGGCTCTCCTTTGGCTCTGCCAGGAATAAGCATAAGGGCTGGCACAAGGGAGCTAAAAATAGCTGAAGGCCAGTTTGCATGGCCTGTCCATATATTCGGCAAACACAGGCCCAAATGCCAAGGATTCCCGTGGGGCCTGCAGAACTTGATGGCAGCCTGTGCGCCGCAATCCACAGAAAGGTCGCACAATCTAAGATGATACTTTGCATAGTTGCCCTTCTATAGCTATATAAGAATCCTGCCAAGGCGCCACTGAATAGGCTGGCCAAAGGTATTTCAGCTGCCCGATTCAGGGCCAGCCCCCATCCAATCTTCTTTTATTACCCAGAGCATGCAGCATCTCAGGCTCCAAAACAGGGGTGTCCAAGCTTGGCCCCTTTAAGACCTGTGGACTTCAATTCCCAGAATTCCCCAGCCATGGAATTCTGGGAGTTGAAGTCCACAGGTCTTCAAAGTTCGCCAAGCTTGGACAGCCCTGCTGTGAAACGCACAAAACGTCTACCTGCAACTTCTCTCATTCTTTCCCACGCCAATTTTCGACAAATTGCCAGCCTGCAGGCAACGTTGTGAACGTTCCCACAAGCACGTACGCAATATCATCCTCAGCCGAGAACTGATGGGTTCGGGTGGACCCCTCCAAAAAAGGTACTTTTAGAAGGAAGAGTTTTGAAGGAGTAGAGGAGGGTGCAAGGAGAAATACAGTAGGAGCCTGCAAGCTTGCGCAACAGCAGGTTGTGTAGTTCTCATGTTGGATGAGCCAACATGCTTTTGGATGGAGTCCCATAGTGATTATTAAGGGCAGCCTCCCCCTTCATCTACTGTAAGCAGCAACTCTTGTGAAATATATTGAGGAACTAACTTTACAGAAGTTATTCTGCCTTTTGAAGTGGCACGGATTGTATTACCAGCAGAGATTTCAGCAGCCCAGACCCTCTCCCCATGTCTCACCCTATCCCACCCGGCTCAATACAGATGTTTAAAACGGTCCAGGTTTAATAGCTCATTCTGGCTGCATTCACACAACCCACTGGGGACCGAATTCTCCCCTTGCATTTTTTTTCCCCCCTGACCTTCATCATATTTGGCACCACATACTAAACAGGCTGGGATTGCGTCACATTCCACCTGCCCTCTGGAATGACCTACCACCCGACCTACGTACAACTGCGGACCTGCGCCTTTTTCGCCGAGCCCTGAAAACCCATCTATTTCGTGCGGCCGGCCTGGCGTAGTCTTAATTAGGTTTTAGTATAGGTTTTTATATGGGGTATTTTAGAGCAGGCCTTTATTTATTTAATTTGATTTTAGAATAGATATTTATTGTGATTTTTATTATCGCCTGTTCACCGCCCTGAGTCCCGTAAGGGAGATAGGGCGGTATACAAATCTAAATAAACAAACAAACAAACAAACATATCCCCACTCCCAAGGTTAGCACTAATATTTCTGGCACTGATGATGTTACCGAGTTTGGGTAACGGGACGTCTGCAAGCAAGCAAGCCCAGAGACCACCCAGGACCCCTCACTAATATGTCTAGCAGGGCTTTTGCCTGACCCGTTTTGGGAGGGGGGAATCGTGTGAAAGTGGCATGTCCAAAGGCATGTCCAAAGCAAAAGAGAGGGGGTTC